TCGAGCATCCTACTTTCAAAGGAAAGGAGACATCAGAGAAGGCCAGTCGCCCCGATCCAACCGATGCCGACGTCGGCCCTAAAGCAATTTCCGGCGGCGGGCATGAGGATCCCTCCTCTCCAACAGAAAAGCCATCTTCTGCTAGAACGAGTGTTGTCGGTCAGATTGGAGAATCTCAATCCGGCGACAGCACTGAGGGTCCGATTCATGCGTCATCCCAGAGGCCCGACAGTTCCCATGAAGGCAGCGACCCGATCCCAGCGTCATCTGCAAGCCCTGAGGCGCAGACTGATGGCCGGCGAGAAGGTAGCACTGAGAGCAACCCGATCCCAGTGTCATCTGCAAGCCCTGAGGCGCAGACTGATGGCCGGCGAGAGGGCAGCACTGAGAGCAACCCGATCCATGTGTCTTCTGAAAGTCCGGAGCCTCGGAAAACTAGCCAGGCATCACCCATCTTGAAGCAAGAAAGCCAGGACGGCAATGGGCAACAGCCGCAGTCGGGTCGTGACGACCAGGACCATGGGAGACAAGAACGTCATGAGCCACAGAAGAGGGACCAAGATAAATCTGATCAAGGCAATGGACCGGATGCAGCCGGGGACAGCGATAAAGAAAACCGAGAGCCCTCTCAGCAAGAACCCGATTTATATGAAGCAACGCCTGTTATTCAAGCGAAACACCCTGCCACTCAAGGAGAGTCTAACCCTCAAACACAGAAAGACCAGACGGATAAGGCGCCTCAAGGGCAGTCGGAGACCTCGCGTGAAAACCAGCAAGAGCCAGGGCGAGTCATCCAGAGCACAGAGGCAGCTGAAGAAGTGCACTACGGTGAGAAATATAGAAAAGGCAAAACTCCGGTGACAATCCCTCCAAAGGCCCCACTGTTCCAATCCAGTAATCAAGGTCAATCGGCCAAGGGGCTGCGGTCCCCGGAATCCACCAGAACAGTTGTGCGTGACGATGCCTTCAATCCGCATAAATGGGCCGAAACACATGCAATCGGTGGAAACCAGATGGAAAGGCATCCAAAATTTTCTGACTGGAGAGATTTTCCGCACCCAAATACAGGCCTATGGATTGAGATAGACGACTTTGAGGAGCCTGATAGGAAGATATGGGTGCTGGCGAGAGGTATCACGTATAAGAACCAGTTGGCAGTGGAGTCCATCGGCTTCAAGGAAGGACAGAGCCGAGGGCTGAGTCTCAGCGCAGCGGCTTACAAGAGCGAGATTGCTGCGTTGCGCAGGAAAGGAATTGGGCAGTTTCTACCAGGAGAGGCGAGGGATTTTACGGGTATCAAGGGAAGAAACCGATGGAATGACGCACAACACCAAAATGCTTTCAACGTCGTCTTTTTCGCAGAAGCCCATGGTGAAAAGAACAACGGAGATTGCCTGGTCGTCTACGACGGAGGTAAGGCTTTGTCGAAGACCGACATTATTAAAGCAGGCGGTACTAAGTGGGGGAGAATCATCGAAAGCCATCGGCGGCCCGAAATAAGTGTCGCTCCCGGCAAAGCGCCGTGGCCAGAGGAGAGCGTGGCGAGGGCAGCGCCCACGGCCATTCCGCCCGCGACTCGATTGGCGTCCTCGCCGCCTGCTGCCATGTTGCCAACACCGAAGTCGGTGGGGCAAGCTCGGTTCGTTCACACTCCGCAGGCTGTCCCAAGGCCTGGAGGTGGCGTTCCTCTTCAGCGATCTTCCACCGAACGAACGCATCGCGCAGCGTTTCCGCCGGTGAGTTCGCCTTCTTCTGTACCCGCGGCCCCGCAGCCTTCTGCCACACCAACTGCTCCTATGGGCTTCCCCCCAGCGGTTGTTCCCCCAGCAGTAGTTCCCCCGACTAGACCTCCCCCAATGAATATGGCCCAGGGTTTTCAGCAACCCATGTACCGCCAATTCCCTGGGCCACAAAATTGGATGCAGCCGCAGATGGGTTGGCCGCCCCAGGAGTTTGTATCATACCAGCAGCAAGCCGCACCATTTTACGTCCTGCCTGCTTCGCAGTCACCATACTCCACACGCGACGTCTCCATGGACCCGAGTGGTAGCTTCAGAGGCTCATCCCAGCCTCCCCTAGCGATGCAAACCGCAACGGAACCACCTAACTTGAAATCTCGCGGACGCGTTTTGCTTCAACAGGATATGAATGGCGCTTGGCATCTCGGCACATTTAAAGTGTCTTTTCCGGATGGCCGTATACCAACACCGGCCGGCCAGGTAGACTGGGAAACAGATGGGCTAAATGAATACGCCCGGACAAGGGATGGTAGACTGTGGCGAGTGGCACTTGAAGTAAACCCTTAGTGATTCTTGTGTTTTCCGAATAACGGGTTGCTTTTGTATTTTCGGAAGGTATAACACCAATAGATCTCCTTTTGTTATTCATAACGTGAAAGACTTAGACATGATTTCTGCGTCGTAAACCATGAGTGTCCTAAGCCATAACTGTCGTTCGTCGCTATAGCTACAGCTTGGCCGGTGAGTTGCTGGCTGCGCCAGTGCTCTATCAGCCTGTTTCTCAGCAGCCGGTCTTGTGAAAAACCACTGCAAAAGGTGGAAGTTGGCACCCGAAGGCCTGTCTGGGTCACCTGCAACCTTCCTTTACAAAGGATACCTATCCCTTTAGGTGCGAGAAATGGCTGAAAATATTTGGGCCATTTGATAAGCGTCGATAAGCGGCAGTACATACAGCCCAAGCTTATTCCCAGCGTCTTAGACCCCCAGGTTTAAGAGTAGCCCGCTAGAGTCCCCTACCCTACAAGGGCCGCCTTTCTAAAGCCACTTACACGGGGCGTATTAATAGGCTACGGTTAGTAACTAATGCCACTTTGTGGGACTGAAGTTCGAGCCATATCTCGCACCTAAAGGGATCACGTCGATCTGGCGTGCTCCCCGTCGGAGGCGGAATTGGGCAGCAGGCCACCAACGTCGGTGACGAGAGGAATCAGATGGCGGAACTCGAAGCCCGAGTACACAAACCAGACAGCAGATGTCAGGTTTCAGAAATCCCCTCAAGGCTTGGGGCGCAACGCCAGACAACAACACTATATTATCCATCTCTCACTGCCTGCCCACCACACCTCTCCAATCTCCATCATCAACCTCTACTTCACAGCCAATGGAGAACCAGACTGCCATTACCATTGTTGTTACTCCTCCCTCCCCCGTTGCGGATCAAGTGATTTCGCCAGAGAAAGATGCCCTCGTCCGTAGCCGACAGCCTGAGCAGCGAGCTCTCTGACGAGACGTACACATGGGCTGGATCGCCGTCGGATTCTTCGCCGCCAGCATACAGCTCTAGCCTGACGCTCAATCGTGACCCTGAAGACCGTAGCCCCAACCCGGAGGCGGAGGCTGTTGAGCGTGTTGCAAGAGCCATCGTGCATGGAGACACCACCTTGGCCCTCGACCTCATGGAAAGCGGCATCCCCATCTCAGGATCTCTCCTTATTGAGCAGCTGCGTGCCCCCGGGTCGGATCTCAACAAGGGGATGGACCGCGGTAGTGACAATGTTCTGCATTTCCTTCTACGTGCCACAACAGACCAGTTTCCCGACAAGGTGGAGACGGTGAAATTTCTGCTCCACAGCGGGATGGATCCCCTCGTGCAGGGTGCTCTAGGCGACACAGCGCTCCACCTCCTGTCCGGCGCGCCCAAATTTCCTGAACCTCTGGAAGAGACGAACCAGCTGGCGCTTCTGAAGTACCTCCTTCGCAACGACGAGGAAGCGCTGAGGCTTCCTGGGCCGATGGCATCTGCCTGCACCTATGCTGAGAATGTCAACCTTCGTAATGAGTACGGGAACACACCATTGTCTATCGCCGTTTTGTACGGCTATCAAGACTGCGTCAAGCTGCTCCTGGAGAGCGGCGCCGACCCAGACGTAAGGGGAGAACATGACCGCAAGCCTTTGTCTTGGGCTTTGAAGCGAGGCAATGTGAGTATTATGAACATGCTATTGGATCATGGCGCTCGTTTCGACCAGCAGATTCTCAGAGAAGCTGGTATCGCAATGATGGAGAGGGCTGTGCGGGATTTTTGTGCAAAATGGACCACAGAGTAAGATCGCTACGGATGCATAGATGTTCGTGATTAGTTGCCATAGATAGAGTCGTTTTATCCGCCTTTGCGAATGAAAACTCAGTGCTTAGCTGACCTGTGCTTCCCCTGCACCCAACCAAGCCCATTCGCTGAGTTATCACACAGTCCACATGGAATGCTCTTTTAACAGCAAGTCCAGGCTTGAAAGTCTTAGATGCACTCTTGCGGAGAACACTGCCTATCTTGTCATATTTATCCTCTCAATAAGAAGTGCTCTGACAACTTGTACGGTCATGAGCATATATAACCTCCTCACCTCTGAACAGTTCTCCTCCTTACTTTAGGCATTAGCGGGACTCGGGAGTACATAGTGGGTAATGCTGACACATATAGATATCGCGCCAACTGATGGTCCTTGGGTGCTCGCTAGTATCTAGGAGACGGCGGAGGGGCACGGCCGACAGTACCCAGTGCGGCCTCCTTTTACAGTACCTACCCAGTTTGGCGGGTACTGCGCGGAACACACCACACGCCCACTTCCTGCTCCCATGCTTCTAATAGTCCGCCACTATGCTCTATTGTGGTACTCACGTGACCGAGACTTTGGAACATCATGGCAAGGGATTAGAAGGGTTGGGATTGGGGCCTTGCTGCTCTTTCGCGACACAAGCATCAGTCGATTTCACCACTGTACATGTACTTTAACGCCGGGCATATTCTCATTTGTCGATGACAATGTCTGCGTCCTGGTCCTCGAGCCGAGGACCACTGCGTCGTCGTCGCTATCATGGATGCTTTGCCTGATGGCTGGCCCGCCAATGACGGTCGACAAAGGCGCAGCTGTGTCTACCCTCCATGCAGATTGCAGCCTGACGGGGAACTGAGGAACATCCAGACTTTCCCACATCCACATTCTTATATTCTATCAAGTATAACAAGCCCAAGCCGGAGCCATCATGGAAGTACTAGGAGTCGCTGCCAACGTCATCGCTGTCGTTGACCTCTCCGCGAAGGTCGCGTCGCTATGCTTCCAGTACTCTAAGGAGGTCGCCAGCGCCCGATCAGACATCCAGCGTCTCCGCACCCAGGTCGAACACCTGGGAACTGTTCTGCGGGCTACACAGAGCTTAGTCGAGGGGAGCAAAGGCCGGACGCTCTTAACATCCCAGGAGCTCGTTGGTTCAATTCGCGCCTGCATCGCCGACCTCGAGCGACTGGAGACAAAGCTCAACCCAAACCCCGCACGCACCGCGATGCGTCGCCTGGGCCTCCGAGCTCTCAAGTGGCCGTTCAGTAGCAAAGAGGTCGACCAAGTTCTCTCCAGCCTTGAGCGGCACGAAGAGACCATCTGGTTCGGACTGCAGATTGATCAGACGTGCGAATACTGACGAACCCCCTATCGCTGCCGAGGCTGACGTGCCGCTAGTTCCGTACTCGTTGACATTCAGCAGGGCGTCAAGCAACTGGGGCTCCAGGCGACCGAGGATGCTACGATTTCCCGCAAGCCCCACCGCATGGTGCCGTTCCCTCCCGACCCATACTTTGTCCACCGTCCTCCGATTGAGCAGTGGATGCGAGATCAATATGGCCGGCCCGACCGGCGAATGGCCTTGGTTGGCATGGGCGGCTTTGGGTAGTGCATGCATGCTGCTTCTCCAGACCAGTACTAACAAAGTCGTAGGAAATCTCAGCTGGCTGTCCAGTTTGCACACCAACTCCATGCGGACAAGCCTGGCACCAGCGTCTTCTGGGTGCACGGCAACAGCAGGGCGACGTTTGAAAAGTCCTACCGTGCTCTTGCGGATGTTCTCGTGTTGCCTCGCCGGCACGAGCCTGAGGTCAACGTGCTAGCATTAGTGCGCGACTGGCTGCAGAGGGACGACATCAGTCCGTGGTTGATGGTCGTCGACAATGCCGATGACGCCAGCGCATTCTTCGGCGAGGGACACGACAATGTTTCGCAAGACTCACTTGCCTCATACTTGCCCAAGTCAATCAATGGCAAGATTCTCGTCACGTCGCGCAGCCTCGACGTAGCTGAAAAGCTGGCCGGTGATAGCCGAGTCATACGGCGTATCCCCGTTATGGGCGATGATCAAGCACTCGAGCTATTGCGGAAGAGGTCCAAAGGCGAAATAGACGAAGCTGCTGCAACTGAGCTCGTCAGGGCTCTCGATAATATCCCGCTCGCAGTAAACCAGGCGGCAGCATACATCAACCGACGCAGCCCGCGCGTAAGCGTTGCATCGTATCTGGACGAATTCCGCAAGAGCGAAAAGCGAAAAGACAGCCTTCTTCGCAGCGACAAGGGCGACCTCGGCCGGCATGATGGGGTATCTAACTCTGTTGTGGTGACGTGGCAGGTGACGTTCGAGCAGATCAGGCGGGAGCGGCCGCGCGCTGCTAACCTTCTGTCGCTGATGAGCCAATTCCAGGCACAGAACATACCGGAGAGCATGCTGCACAGCTACAACAACGATGCCACAGCCAGCGAAGAAGATGATGGAGACCGCGTGAACACTGCGACCGAAAGCGATGTGGAGAATAAACGAGAAGACTTCGAGAACGACATGGACGTACTGCGAGGCTACTCCCTTGTGACTCTTTCCGCTGCGGGTCTCTGCGAGATGCATTCGCTTGTCCAGTTCTGCACTCGGTCTTGGATTTCAGAGTTTGGGGACCCGGCACGATGGAGTCAGCTCTTTATGAAGCTGGCGGCAGATCATTTCCCATCTGGCGCATTTGAGACGTGGGATACATGCCAAAACCTCCTCCCTCATATTGAACCTGTTCTGAGCAGACAGACAAGAGACCAGGGTGGTATCCTGGACTGGGCTAACCTCCTGACGAAAGTTTGTTGGTTCATGCTCATGATTGGCGAATATTCACGAGCGGAGGTGTTGGGAGAAGAGGCCGCTCAAGCAAGGAGGAGCGTTCTGGGGCCCGACCATCCCTCCACGCTGACCAGCATGGCTAACCTGGCGTCGACGTATAGGAACCAGGGCCGGTGGGAGGAGGCCGAGAAGCTGGAGGTGGAGGTGATGGAGATGAGCAAGACGAAGCTTGGAGCCGACCATCCCTCCACGCTGAGCAGTATGGCTAACCTGGCGTCGACGTTTTGGAACCAGGGCCGGTGGGAGGAGGCTGAGAAGCTGGAGGTGGAGGTGATGGAGACGAGCAAGACGAAGCTTGGAGCCGACCATCCCTCCACGCTGACCAGCATGGCTAACCTGGCGTCGACATATAGGAACCAGGGCCGGTGGGAGGAGGCCGAGAAGCTGTTTGTGGAGGTGATGGAGACGAGCAAGACGAAGCTTGGGGTCGACCATCCCTCCACGCTGACCAGCATGAACAACCTGGCGTCGACGTTTTGGAATCAGGGCCGGTGGGAGGAGGCTGAGAAGCTGTTGGTGGAGGTGATGGAGACGAGCAAGACGAAGCTTGGAGCCGACCATCCCTCCACGCTGAGCAGTATGGCTAACCTGGCGTCGACGTTTTGGAACCAGGGCCGGTGGGAGGAGGCTGAGAAGCTGGAGGTGGAGGTGATGGAGACTCGCAAGACGAAGCTTGGAGCCGACCATCCCTCCACGCTGACCAGCATGGCTAACCTGGCGTCGACATATAGGAACCAGGGCCGGTGGGAGGAGGCCGAGAAGCTGTTTGTGGAGGTGATGGAGACGAGCAAGACGAAGCTTGGGGTCGACCATCCCTCCACGCTGACCAGCATGAACAACCTGGCGTCGACGTTTTGGAATCAGGGCCGGTGGGAGGAGGCTGAGAAGCTGTTGGTGGAGGTGATGGAGACGAGCAAGACGAAGCTTGGAGCCGACCATTCCTCCACGCTGACCAGCATGGCTAACCTGGCGTCGACGTTTTGGAATCAGGGTCGGTGGGAGGAGGCTGAGAAGCTGGACGTGGAGGTGATGGAGATGAGCAAGACGAAGCTTGGAGCCGACCATCCCTCCACGCTGAGCAGTATGGCTAACCTGGCGTCGACGTTTTGGAACCAGGGCCGGTGGGAGGAGGCTGAGAAGCTGGAGGTGGAGGTGATGGAGACGAGCAAGACGAAGCTTGGAGCCGACCATCCCTCCACGCTGACCAGCATGGCTAACCTGGCGTCGACATATAGGAACCAGGGCCGGTGGGAGGAGGCTGAGAAGCTGGAGGTGGAGGTGATGGAGACGAGCAAGACGAAGCTTGGGGTCGACCATCCCTCCACGCTGACCAGCATGAACAACCTGGCGTCGACGTTTTGGAATCAGGGCCGGTGGGAGGAGGCTGAGAAGCTGTTGGTGGAGGTGATGGAGACGAGCAAGACGAAGCTTGGAGCCGACCATCCCTCCACGCTGAGCAGTATGGCTAACCTGGCGTCGACGTTTTGGAACCAGGGCCGGTGGGAGGAGGCTGAGAAGCTGGAGGTGGAGGTGATGGAGACTCGCAAGACGAAGCTTGGAGCCGACCATCCCTCCACGCTGACCAGCATGGCTAACCTGGCGTCCACTTGGCATGGTCGAGGTCGACGAGAGGATGCTCTTATTCTGATGCAAGACTGTGTTCGTCTTCGAGGGATGAAGCTTGGTCCCAGTCATCCGCACACTCAGTCATCAGTTACAACGCTACTATCGTGGCAAGCCGAATGCCGCGCGGTGGAAGGTGATTCGAGTAGATAAAGATGATTCCTTCAGTAGTTTCATACTTTAATTCGACATGTTTACTTTACCTAAGCTCCATTTGCCTTACCAATGAGTGCATCGCCAGACAAACATCCCAGCGACCCAGGCTTTGCAATCGTTGTTGTCCCTGTTCAGTACTATTACTTGCTATGCGTGTTACAGTCTGTCTCTATTGCTTATACGCACTATATTGGTCTAAGAAGATTGCTTGTGTCTATAGGAATTCGTCCGTCGCAATGGTTGACTTATGCTCCTGACTATATAACAAAGGCACACTTATGTGTTTCTGTCGGACAGCGGAACTTCGCTGCGTCTTTCTCCTTCCATCCGCCAGCTCTTGGATTGCAGTGGTTCTGAGGATCGCTGGCTCCTTCCGGATATGGGCAGCATATCATTGTAGCCGCAGACTTCTTCCTCTACCACATAAATCACCTTGAGGAATTATATTTCGCGGAGAATTAATGCATGCTTTGTTACGATGCTTGATCAGGGAAGAAAATCCTGTGTCGTATGAACGTAGCAACAGACGCTATCCTTAGCCCCTTTCACAGCCCTTCATTCGTGTGAGAAGCTCTCCGGTGTGAACACTTTGGGAATGGGGTAAGTCCTGTCCTGAGTACTTGTCAACAATGCATCAGGCATGACTAGGAAGACAAACAAACGAGATGGGTTGGCGAACGCCAGCCAGAGTCGTCGGACGAGTCAAAAATCAGGTACTTCCCTGCAGTCCTCACGATGAGAAAGACATCTGCATTGAAGTCTTGCTGAAAATCGCGATGGAATTCGTGAGCCTTTTTAGCCAGATTGAGTTTCCGACGACGCAGCCTTTCCATCTGTCTGGCTCTGACTGCTCGACCTGAGCTCCGAGTAGTCCGCAGGATCACTTTGCAAGGCTTTGTGCCTGTATTCTCGGTGTCGTGGTCAGGGGTGAAAGTGGCTCTTGTGTCAACGGAATCCTGAACGGGCAAGAGCTCTTGCTCAGGCGTGGGTTCGCGACAAAATTGTTCGGTTTGCATGTTTTCGCCCGTGTGCTTAAAGGCCTTGCCCGTGTCTGAGAGCATTTTCTTTCCTTGCATCTCAAGGTGCCTTACGGTGTATATATTATTGGTACCATGAGCAGAGAGAGAACAGAAACTTGGAACATTGAAGTTGGGCGGTCGTTGGCCGACAGCTGGTCCCAGAATAGAACAGCGTTGCTTAAATTAGAAACCCCTAAGCGCTGGATCTCTGAAGGAGAGGATGGCGAACAAATTCTTGTTATATCAATGTTGACAACTGCATTGGAGAACACGATTCTTGTCCCAGACTAGAACGACAATGCAGAACCAACACCTTTATCGTCAGAGCTGCGCTCAGCAAAAGTCTTACTACGTCTGTAGCAAGAATGGGTTCCGTGGATGCTGTGCAGTCGATCCTTGTGATTTGGCTGATTGTCCTGACAACCTCGCCGTCACGCCATTCTCGACCTCTTCGTTTGCGTCAGCTACTACAACCTTTTCTTCCACAACGAGACTCAGTACTACTACGACCCCAAGTACTTCTACCACCTCTGTTGTGACTATCGTGACTGCCGTCACACCTACCGCGTCGATGACGGATTCTAAAGCCGACAGACCCATCATACAGGGCGCGCCACTTTTCATAATTATTCTAGCCATCGCAATTGCTGTCCCCGTGTTAGCCTTCTCATGCTTTCTCTGGTTGCATTCCAGAGACCGAGAGAATGCAGAGGAACAGGTCTCTGCTGAACAGTCTGGATCATTGCCTTGTAGGTTACCACACTGCATATTTACGAAACCTCTAACCTCATGTAGATAATGTTTCGGAACCCCAAACCTACCGGATGGGTGATATTGGGCTTGCAACTACGGCACCTTTATCATCCGCAATAGAAACTGCTATAGCTGAGTTGCCTGATAAGGAATGGTTTGTTGGGAGGAATGATGGCAGCACATCCAACAAGCAGGACTCGCCTCATCCAAGGCCAAATCTGGATGCTACGCCTGCCGAGGTCACGCAGCGGAAGTATGTGACTAGCTGGTCTAACTTCGACTAGACTGCTCTCTGGTAAGCGGATTGGTGACCAGCCTACGCCACATGGATTTGATTACAAGATAGTGTGGCACTGGGTTCTACTCTCTAAGCATAAATAAAGAATGAGCTTTCGCTCGGTCCTGTGGATTCTTCATTTATCAACTTCTTTATTATTACGTTGTAGCACAATGGCTAGTAAATCGGATGCTGAGCCAGAGTTTTCCTACTTCTGTGCCTGGTGCTATCATCCCTTGACGGACCGTGTTCTCCTGACTGCATGCTCTTGCGTGGGTGCATCCCATATCCGCGCCGTTGGGCTTATGCTAACAATAACCAAGGTCATATGTTCAACATGCTGCAGAAACTACCAAGACTACGACTCGTCCGGCAGTCTAATTTGCTCCAAGTACAGTCATCATATCAGAGGCCCGCAAGACACTTGGGTGCTTTATGGCGTGGAGTGTGTGATCTGTCACGATAACTGCGAAAGGCACCTCGTGGCAATTCGTTGCGGTAGCCTACACTGTTTCTCTTTCAAGAATGGCCCCTGACGAGTGCTAGGTCATGTTTTCCACAGTGAATGCCTGCAAGAAGCAGGGCCTCAATTTCTCAACAAATGTCCTTACTGCCAGACAGAGGGTTCAGGAAAGCAGCTGCGGGTGAATCCAACTTATTCGGCTTTGCAGAAGCACGGCAAGCCAGACGAGGTAGAAAAGACCACTAGTGAGAAAATACGGCAATTGAAGCGCGAGCAACAACGTTGCCTGTTGCGCCTGCAATTAGAGGGGGCTTTGAAGCATGAGAGGGAGCTGCGAAGGGAATATCATCTATGGTGGACTCAAGAGCCCAAACACGAGCCCCTGTAATTTGACTTTATCAACTCAAACTAAGTCCTAGTTGTGTTATACAGTAAAAGGCGTAATGGGCTTCGCTAAATAATTGACTTAAAACAGTTAGTAGTGGTGGCGTGGGGTATGGGTTTGTGAGGTTCGCCCTCTAATCTTGATCACTCATGCCCCTTTTTGCTGAGTTTTTGCTGAGTTGTACTCTCCAGTCTGAGAGAGCTGAGGTGGAAGATATAGTGTCTGTATGATCTACACTGAGAACAATTTGTCTCAGGCGAACAAAATTCTGCAGCAATTGAATTGCGCCTTTCCGTCGTTCCAGATCTTTCCAAGTGAAGGCCAGATTATGCAGGCTTCACAGCGTGTCGGAATGCTCCTCTCCAAGCACCCTCTTTCTCGTCTCCATCACCCGCACCTCCAGCTCCTCAGCCTCCTTCCATCGGCCTTGCTTCCTGTATGTTGACGCCAGGTTGGCCGTGCTCGTCAGCGTAGAGGGATTCTCCTCCCCTAGTCTTTCCGTCCTGATCCTAACAGCGTTTTGTACTAAGACCTCCGCCTTGGAATAGTTGCCAAGCATCACTAAGTACCAAGACACATTTGTTAATAGCTCGCTCCATTGTAGTTGGTTGCGTTCATCTGATGGCCTTTTGTCTAATACCAGCTGTATGTGGGGCATCAGGGTTTGACACTGCTGCCACGTTTTGAATACGCCTGATGGAAAGTGTTGTGAGGCCGATTGAAGAAAGAGTGTCTTCCATTGGTCTCGGAAACCATATTCTGAGATCCAAACCTTCGTGCAAAATTGCACCAGCGAGTGCATCTCCAAGAAACCTGGCACAGCTGTCATGGTAACGAGTGAGTAGCCCCGGAGCATATCCAGGTCATCCTCAAAGTCGTCGCTACTGGTTTCACCATGCTCATCGTCGCTCTCTTTAGAACCTATGCTGCCACTACTGTAGTTATGCAGCATATACACGGGGATGTTTTGCGCCTGAAAGTAGCTCATGAGCGAAAGAAGGTCGGCTGCCCTGGGCTGCTCACGTTTGATCTGCTCAAACGTCACCTGCCATGTCACTACGACGGAGTTAGATACGCCTTCATAGCGTTGGATATCCCCTCTATCACTGCGAAGGAGGGTGTCCTTTCGCCTTTCACTGTTGTGGAATTCCTCTAAATATGAATCGACGGTTACTTGAGGACTTCGTCTGTGAATGTACGCCGCTGCCTGGCTTACAGCGAGAGGGATGCACTCAAGGGTGCGTAAAAGGCGTAATGCGGTAGCCTCGTTGAAATTGCGGCCTAGCTTGCTTTGTAGAAGCTGCAGAGCCTGTTCTTTCTCCATTGTTGGGACTGTGTAGACCATCTTGACGTTACCCGTTAACCTCTCTGCAGCGTCCCGGCTGCGCGACGTAACGAGAATCTTGCTCTTGGTTCTCTTAGGAAGATACGATAGGTACGTTTCGATACCATCCTTAGATCATAGCATCTTAACATCATCTGCGTTGTCGATAATCATGAGCCACGGGCTCACGTCCTCTCGCTGCAGCCACTTGCGGACTAGCGCTAGGATATTGACGTCAGGATCGTGGCGACCTGGAAGTGCCAGGACGTCTGCCATAGACCGGTAGGACTCTTCAAATGTCGCTTTGGTATTGGCGTTGACCCAGAAGATACTGGTTTTGGGTGAGGTGGCGTGTAGTTTGTGAGCGAACTGGATGGCCATCTGGGATTTGCTGCGCCTGTGTTAGTGGGGGCTTTTGAATACAGCTATTGAGACGCACCCGAATCCACCCATGCCCACAAGAGCGAAGCGGCTATTAGGTCCCGCATACTGCTCTTCAATCCATGTCCAGGTGTCGGGCCGGTATCGGGCAAGGCCGCAATGACAACGTTATGGCTACCGATGCTGCCTAAAACATAGCTATTGTTGTCGTGCGTGGCTACCTGTTGTGGCGGTCCATGCTCCTCGTCAAGGAAAGCTCGGGCGGCGACAGACTCGGCAGTGACAGCACATATCCAAGCGACAGTGTATGCTTTGGGATCAGACATGATCGATACTTGAGGGAGGACAACTGAAGGATGTAGCAAAGATGGCGTCGGAAACAGCAGAAAGACATGCAAAAGAACGCCGAGCGGAGATGGGGGTTTCAAGTATTTGATGTACTTCGGACACGATCAGGCTGGCGCTAGTTCAAAGACAGGATTGAGGTGTCTGGGGGCTGCACTGCTGGTTGATTGGTGAAGCGCATGCTGACAATGCCTCTTGATATAAAGACCGAGAACCAACCAAGCCGTTCCATAATGTGTAGGCATGCGCATTGCGGCGATGGCCTGTTCGTGCATGGCATGGCGGTGCTGTTATTGGCACGTTAGGCGATATAAGTGCTGCGAAGTGGAAAAAGATGACGAATGCCTGCCACTCACGAATGAACATAAGCGGGGTGGGTGTAAGATGGATTGCCCTATCGTCCGGCTCCCAAGACTGAGATGAGGCTGTGTGGTGGCTTCAGAACCCTTATCGCGACCGGTGCTCCTGCATGAAAATTAGGCAAGGCAAGACAGTACTGGAGCTGTTCTTTCAGTACTTAGCGGGTACAGCTGTAATATGCTATCCCATGTTAAATGTGACCCCACACTACCCCGACAAAAGATATTAACTACGAGCTGTACATATGTAACTGTGGGTTGATTACGTTGGGGGTGCTGGCCGGCGTAGCTATATAGTGCAGAACAGAGGGTAATGATACCAGAGGTATTATTACCGAAGCTTTTGCTTTGTGCCACAGTTGGTTGCCCTGACCCGCTCGTAACATTTGCCTTCTAGAGACTCTCCCTTCGTCGTATATAATAGCTATTCACTATCCGCACTTAATCTCTTACTTCTGAATAACTATGCTTAGGTTTATATACAGTATTTCCCTGGCTGAGTATTTAGGTTTCTTGATTATCGCACCGACCGTGGAATTGGGGTGGAGTGCGGGCTGCACAGCATTTCACTCTGGAGGGAATTCCACTACTTGGTGCGCTTCTTTTTTTTTCTTGCCATTCTTGGAAGCTGTTAGCCATTCGAACGTGAGTTCTGGCATGGGCTTCACTGCGATCATGGTTGGGAGTGATTTTCTCTTGGTGCTTTGGTCTATCGCACTGTAATACATTTGTGCGTGGTTCCCTCCCACGCAAAGCATTATCGTCCTCGCTATGTGATGGCTTTCTAGCCCTCAATAAGACACTATATCAGTCGTGTTCCTCCCTGCCCCCTCACCTCGTTGTTAGCCTTATGACTGTGAGTGTGTCCGTCGGCCTTCCATGCCCTGCATTCTTCTAGCTTGAATCCAACCGTCGAGACTTGTTGGAGCCTGTGGCGTGGCCACCGGCCGGGCCTACTTTTGTGATGTCGAGGAGCTTAGGTAAATCTCCCTGGGGATGATGGGAGACTCAGGCCACGCAGGCCGGTCATTCGAGAGGATGCCTGGGGGCGGTAGTGCCCGTCCATGGCTATGGTCCAAGTGGATGCCACCGTAGATGTGATGAGGGACGATGTTTGAGTTCTTGTCCTCCAGGGGAGGTGGATACAGCACCCCATGGGGGAAGTGGCCGTTGATGACGCCAATCCGTGTGGAAGGGGGGCCATGGGGCGCCGTCGCGTGGCTGCCGGGTGTGGACTGGACCGGCGTGGCAGGGTACTTTGACCAGTGCGTGCAGTCATGCATCCGGTCCGTGGTCAGGACCAAGGTACAGCTTGTCTGTACAGACACCAGGCGTTAGTGACGATGTATAGGGAGTGGTTGATCATCCATACACCTTCAGGTTGTTGCGGGGGAGATATCCACACCAGCTGTAGAGGGTGAAGTTCTGGATGTTAATTAGATGGTGAAAGTTGGGCTTCTTGGAAGGCCGGGGCCTGCGCTGGGGAAACCAGATATAGATATAGAGGTTGGCCGCCTTGATGAAGTCGGGCTGTTTGTCGCTGCGGAAAACGGCGTCGTACAGGCGGGCGAGGTCGGCCTGGTCAGCGAACTGCCAGACGTTCGGAAGGTGACACTTGACGGGGTTGCTGAAGTCGAAGGTGTTGCCCACCGTCCTACAAGGAGAGACCTTCAGACGTTGCTCCTTCTGAGTGGCGGTGGTGTCGAGGAGATCGATGAAGGTTCTGAGGGTGTTGTGGCTGGGATCGTTGTGGGGGAGGATGTCTGTCTCCTAGAAGATTAACCTCCCCTCCTCCCCTCCTCCCCTCCTCCCCTTATCGGTGGTGTGCTACAATTGCATCGGTCGGTGCGGCGTGACCTTGCCGTCGAGTGTGCATCCATGCGTCGTCACCACTGTGATAAGTGGCCTAGTTGGTGCAGCGAATTTCTAAAGCTGCTTCAAGATGCTTGAGTCTGTACCTTCGTCATAATCCAAAGACAGCTTGCTTGGCAATGCGAGTGGCTTTGTGACGGGCGATAAGTCACGCATTAGAGCGTTCAGGGTGCTTCCGTAGTACTTACGACGTGGACCAACCGACAGCCACTAATAAGATCAGGGCGAACCAAGCATGGCGGTGGAGCCTTCACCGGCTGCAGGCTTGCATCACGCAAGTCACAGAAACCCCAAGAGAGGATACATCGAGCTCGAACAGCCGGCTTGCTGAGTGATTCATCATGCTGACCGATACTGTGAGTAGAGTCGTTAGGTTCTGTCTGTCTGCGGGGAGCGCTTCCGGATTCAGGGCAAGTGCCTCCATGCAGCCAAGATCATTATCAGTTCACTTTAGGGCGTGCATTCACAAGTAGGCATTTATAGGTGGAACAATCTGTAAGAAGGTGCAATATAGCGGTATAGACCAAATACATAAGAGACCTTGGATGGCTATGTAGGGGCGTTTTGCTACCAGAAGCATGTTAGTATCAACCATGGCGAAGAAGAAGACACTCAAGACGGAGACGCAGGAACAGCATAAGTTCTCTGCCAGCGGCGAGGCTCTTGATGTTGGACCTGCAGTGTCGTAAGCCTCATCCTTTAACTGACATAGAATATTCAACTAACGTTCAAAGCCCTTACATGAGCCCGAGCTGCAAGATCTACTTCAAAACCGGACAGCCGTTCACGGTTCCACGGGACCTCATCCGTGTGAGCGTCGAGCTTGACGAGGTCTGTAGTGACTTCAACGAGATCCACATCGAAGATGTGCCGGACGAAGCAGGCCATGTACTTGTCCACTACCTTTACACGGGTACTTGGCAAACCCTCAATAAGAGACATTCACTACACGACTCCAAAGTGTTAACCCAGTTCGAAATCAGTGTACATGTCTACGCTGCTGCCCGAGCCTACGGCCTCTCAGGTTTAGTCGATGTTGCCAAGGGAAACATCTCTCGTCTTGCAAAAACGTTACCTGCGCTGGATGTCATCGTCTTGGCTGCTGGTGGATGCGAACTCCTGCTGGACGATGACTTGTGGTTCTTGGGCTTTATCAAGATGCGTGTTGAGGACCTGTTCGAAGACCCAGCTTCCCTTAATCGGTCAGTCTTTCTAGGGTGCTGTCATGGCGCTTCGACGTACTCCAAGATGTTGGCCAAAAGCATGGTTCAGATATGCTGCGAGAACTCGGTTTCTCTCAAGTCGGCCGAGTCTAGGGTTCTATCTCCGCCTAAAATACCCACTGTTTCGGAGCCCGATGCCACAGCCTCGACCGAGTCGCCACAAACGACACCGGACTTAGCCTCAGAGCCGGAGCCTGAGGTTGCCCCGGAGGCTGAAGCGGAACCAACGGCAGAGGTGGCGCTTGAGTCCGAGGTCGTCCTGCCAGAGCCCGAGCCGGAAGCAGTCATACTGGAGCGCGAACCCATACCGGAGCCCGAGCTCGAGTGCAAGCCTGAGCCAACAATGGAGGCTGCAGAAGATCTTGAATTTCCGATACTATCTAAAAAGTCCAAGAAGAAGGGCAAGAAATTGAAGAAGGCGGAAATCCAGGAGGTGATTTGTGCGTACAGGGCAGCGCATGTTGTTGATGGCGGATGGGAAGATTGTTCCAACTGTCGGGAATACGTGGGCACCTTATCGTCATCTTACCAGTCAAGAAAGAGTAGTTCATTGTGGAACGGGATATAAAGCGACAGTCAGTTAGACGATACAATTTTGAATACTGGCATCGATGCTCGCTATTAGACGAGGAGACTGGCCAACTTACCATTCCGCCTACTTTACATTTTTTTGCAACCCGTTCTGATCTTTGTTTTCTCCTTCCCCAGAAAACACGCAAACTACGGTTTCTAGCTGGATTGGTTGTGCTTCGACGATGACGACATTCTTGGTGCCTGTCACATAGGAAGCATTTCGCTGCTGGGAGGAGAGGAGAGGCGCGGCGGGGCGGCGACCACTTGAGCAGGGCTCAATTTCGTATGGACTCCCTAAAACACTTGTGAATGCGAGCAGCCAAAATTGCGGTTTTCACCTACCTGCGCGGGAAAGGCTAGGCACCCTACAACCAAAGAGAAATTCATTTTTCATTCACAGTTAATTTATCCAAGATATAGCAGTTTATTCATTCTCTTTCATGTGCAAAACTGTTCGAATGGTCCCAAAATTTCATCCTCTCATAAACCCCAGCCCATACTGTCGATCATCTTGTGTCCAATCGACCGTAGAGAAGTTACATTATTTTCATTACTGCTTTGTCCCTAATTCTCTTTTCCTCAATGCGTTTAGCTCCAGAAATTAATCGAGCATCTAGAACTGGCTTGCTTTTGATCCAATCTTGAATTGATTTCATGCGACGATACTGCAACTTGTAAATGTCTATCTGCAGAGCGGTAATCTCCTCCACTGATCCTCGGTGACGCTCATGTTCGCAGAGATCTTCCAACTTCGAAAACCCTAGAACCTGGCCTGTTGGAAGTCGTGTATGGGTAAGACGATAGACAGTGACCGCAGCACGATCTTTGTTTTCCTGAGTATTCTCCTCCAACCAGTGCTCCAAGATGTCCACCTCATCCATTGTGAGATAACCCCGAGGTAAGAACGCGCGTCCATTTCCCTCCTGATCTCCCATGCGCTCCACTTCCTCCAGGTCTCTCTGATTCACCCAAACTAGCTCTGACCGACCCATGATGGTAGGTATATCGCACGGAAGGGGAAGAACAACGATCAGTTAAAGGTAGGTAAGGAACTGGTATGTAAAAGGAAAGGAAAGATGTCTAATGGAGAGGAGGAACGCGTGGTATTTATAGACACTGATCAGTCCTCGAAAGCCATGGAATGGTATCGAAGGTCTGCTTACACCATCTTGCATCATCAGTGATGCTTCCTGGCTTATTAACGGTTTATTAGACAATTTCGCATCATGATATATGGCAGTGCATAATACATACGCAATACGGGACATGTGACCATTTAGAAGGTGAGTCACAGCCAAAGTAGTCGTATTCTAGCCTATTAGCTTCCGCTGTTTACCAGTCGGGCAAAGGTCATGGAAGATGGAGGGTGGCATTGGGTTTCAGTATGAACAAAGACGCGTCCTTGTGACTAGTTACGCGATTCGTCTGGTCATGAGAATGAGACACGATTGCACGTGATTACGTGAGAATCAACAGAACAGATGACCAATTTGATGGTGTGCTGTTACTCGGGGGCCAAGAGCCAAGAGTGATCACATAAGCTTTGTGGGATTGTTTCACAAAACGGACGCGACCCCTCTTATCCAGACGCGTTTTCGTTTTCTCTTCTTCATCCAAGCAGAACAGGAGAGGCAGTGCCACCTTCACTTGACCTGAGAGTTTGAGTACTGCGTTTAGTGCCATTTGAAGCCGACGAGGTAGCCGACGAGGACGCTGAGGAGCGGCACATTGGCAATCATGGGTTTTACTTCTAATTCATTTTCTGAGTTCGGACGATGCGGAGACATGCCCCATCAGTCGCGTTTTCGAGGGGTTAGGCGTATCACTAACAAGAACAGAGAAAACTATGAGTGTGAGCACGGCATCTTATTACGTCTAAAACAGAGTAAGATATCTTCGTTTTACTGCGTTCCCGTTTGTGAACCATATTAACTAAATTGTCAAGTTTTTAGATGTCCAGCTCCGAAAGACAGAAGATGCGAAGCCTTCATCTGGTACGACCATGAGGACATCGTACGCCCGCATATACCCATTCGAAGACAACAAAGTTTTCGCATTTTACGATGCATTAGACAGTTAGGCTCGGAAGCAACAGGAATAAGAAGACGTAGGAGAACGGTTTCGAGATTACGCAAAGAGAAGGTTGATACTGAGGAAAAGTTCATGAAACCCGGCAGTCCCGTTGAAGGCGGATTCGAAGAAAAAGGGCGGGAGGAAGGCGCCGTAGCCAGCTGCAGCACAGATGAGATAGGATGTTCCTGGAATGGGAGAGTGAACTGAAGAATGCATCGCATTTCCCTAACGTCAATAAAGTCTAGGACTCGTTGGACGAGCGACTGCAGCTTGTCAGTGACTGATTGCGAACACGACATGACCTGGTGGATCCCGTTTTTCTCTCCTTTAACTTCTTATGCAAGTTGCCAAAATTGATTTTGCGTTCGTTTTTTGGTGAGATGGTAGCGGGGAGGGATGAGGACACTGCTAGAAGGTGACCAGAGGAACGGGACGAGGCGGGACGTGGCGAGTGCGGGCGGCGGGGCCTGCTCTCAGCGTATCTGCCTGCATTTGGGTTGCTCTGAATTTTGAGGGTGCGCGTGATTTATTGTCTGTGGTGCCGGTTTATATAGCTATTTTTATGAGGATAAAGTAAAGACAAACAGGTTTATGCGCAGAATGGTTACATTAGTGCATTAAACTTTGAAATTTGAATTTCTAGACCCTGTTTAAGAGGCAAAGCATTTTACCAGGCCACCTGAATGACGTTTAGTTCCTAGCAGATTATGACAAGCTTGGGGGTATGTGATCGCAGATGGGACTTGGCGACTTGGTGGCCCGTCCTCTAACCAACTGACCCGTTATCGTTGTTGCTTGACCTGATCATGGGGAGAGATGCTGCAGAGCCACGGGAATCGTCATAATTCCGAATTCGTCCGACGTGCTACTAAGGTGGACCTCACTACTTCCGTTCCTTGAGGGTACTCGCGACAAAAGACCACTTGTGCCCCTCGACCATGAGATCCGGGAGGAACTCCAGGACAGAAAAGCCCTGATCCCGATCTCGGAACAGATTTCTCCACTTCGCCGCGTTCGGCAGCGTCGCCTTGTCCAGGTGTCCGAGGCCAGAGGTCGGGCTCCGTAGGTCCGCCTTCCACCCGGCCGTGGCTTTCTAGCCAGTAGGCTACCGGTTACCCGCCGTATCAGAAGTGGGATCCATATTGACAGGTCGCAGAGACACCTAAAATTCTGGGACCACCCGAGCGGGCACCACTCAATGCGTCACCGATCAAGTTTTAATCTAACGTCAAGCTCGTGAGACAGCGCCGTCAATGGTTACAACGTCGGGCTCAGCACTAGTAGGCTTGTGGCTGCCTGTCCCTTCGTCCTGACATTCGTAAGATGTTGTCCCTATTCACAATAGAGATATGGATTTAATAGAGTGTGGTATGCCTCATTCTTTAGCAGCCCCCTTTCTGTCCTAATCTATAACACAGTCCTCCATTGCAATCCCCTGCCTACTAACCGACTCCATTGTCAAGCTGAGATGAACTGCACCACAGTTGGGCCTCCACGTTGTCGAATATCCTGATGCGGCGAGTCGATGATGTCAAGAACCCATGGCAGGCCACCCCAGGCCTAGTTCGAATTGCGGCCGGTAGCGAGGTAGTAGAGGCCTGAGCCCCCTCTTGTCTCAGCAAGCCGTATGTCCTCGTCTTCCTCCATAGTGCTGTTTGACTTGAAAGTATCGACCAGGTGGCCGAAGGCGAAGATGGTTGTGTCAATGACGAAGTCCTTGTCGATGTTGTACTCGTTGTAGCTCCGGTTGAGCTTGGGGATCTGCAGCAAGGACGCGGAAGTGCTGGGGCTCTTGGAGCCGTGGTCGAGGCGATCTTGAAAGAAGGTGATGTAGAGGCTGGCCAGCGACCGCCCTCCAGAGTCCTCCGTCACGAAGGCTGTATCTCTCATGTTCTTGACCGTCTTGTGACCCTCGGTGTTGGTGGCTAGCTCGATCTGCCAAAGTAGGGCTCCTGGGTTGATCTCCTTGTTGGTTGTGTGGTCGAAGAAGCTGAAGAGGTTCAGCTCGTACAGGGTGCGAGCCGGCCAATGCTCGTCTTTGATCACGCCGCTCACCATGATGAAGCTGGTCATGTTGGGGTCTGTCAGGACGACCTTGTGGGTGGTGGTGGCGGGTTGCTTGATTGGAAGGATGCGTCTCTTTACGATGGTGAAGTGCTAGGTCTCGTCACCGGCAAGGAAGGCACGAAGGCGTTCGACCGGATCGGCAGAAGTGGGCGTTGCTATTCTGGGCAATCTGTGAAGTCTACACGCTTTCTAATGCGATAAGAATATGAAGATAGGGGGATGGACACTTAATTTTTGAGAGGCGTTGAGGTAGATAGGACGGTCGGGTGGTTGAAAGACTGGAGGTTGTTGATATGTTTGAAGAGGGTTACAAACTTGCGGGTGGACGAGAGAATCGTCGGTAGGACAAAAGGAAGGGGCACCTCTCTCGCTTGCGCCTTCCGGCTGATTATTTGGGCAGGTCGCCAGGCAAGTAAGCTAGAGCGGCTGTTGTGGTCCCTATGGTTGAGCAAGGGGCAGGTGCCGTCTGATCTGGAACGTCCCGGTATAGAACTAGCCCGTATGATGTGTTTGACGGCGTTTCAGCAATTCTCGGGGTGCTCCTGCTTCTGTAGCTTTTATTCGCGGTAATTGAGTTCTCACAAATAGATACTGCTCACTCACACTGCCAGTATACTTTCCAGGACGTCTGTAACGGGCTTGGCCTGTGGTAGGCCTCATCGAGACTTATGGCCACGAGTGGCGCAAGGCCCAAGGGCAAAGACATCAATGTCTAGGGCAAGGGCAAGGACATCAAGGATCAAGGCAAAGACAACGTGTATTTAAGACACTAGGAAACCTGACGGAGAACAAGAGAAGACTTCCTCCTCACTTGAGGATTCTCGTATGAGAAGGGAGTACGAGTTGCAAAGATACTACTACCGTCCCGTTACAACTTCATATATACGAGTGTTGTGCTACGGAGGACTGCCAGTGGCTTTATTGTACATCTAGCCCCCCCTATGTAGCAGAATCAGGTGTCAGCTTTGGGAGCTAAAATTAAGTGTAGACGTCGTCTGCAGACTCAAAGGATGAGACCAAAGGATGAGACGTCCCCCACCGAGCTCAACCCTCTCAATTAGGTAGATCCTGCTTCCTCTCCTTTAGCTTCTTCCACAATCTGCCACTATTCAGTCTATGTTTGTTATTTAGTAGAAGGGAGGGATGGGGATACTGCCAGAAGGCTGCCAGAATGGGACCAGATGGGCTAGGTGGGATGAGACGTAGCGTGAGCGGGCGGCAGGCCTGCTCAGCGTATTCGCATGAGATGGGTGGTAGGGACAGCTAGTTATTGTTATGAGGATGAGAAAAAGATAATGAGGACTGCACGCAGAATGCTTACAGTATAAAACCTGGAATACGGCCTTTTGTTTAGTCCACAACAATACATCATTTTCTTGGAGCGCAAATTGGCTGGTTATTAGTCTCATGTTGATCCTATCTGCGATGCAGGTGGCGTTGTTACAGAGCGGTTTGGACAGGATATGCGCTTCTAGAAGATCTCTTACGGAATAGCATTGACATCAACAGGCTTTGTCGTAGCTAGTGCTCTTCATATTCCCTGTGGCTGCAACGGTCTGATACGACAAAAACGCTAGCTCCTAGCACCTTGCCAAATCGGATATTCAGCGGGTGCAAGATGGCTGTCGGGTGCTGGCCCAACGAAAGATATGCAACGCGAGCGGTTTTGCTTGCATGCAAACCTGAGTATCAGTTCATTATCTAGGCGCCCCGCCGCCTCTGTTGACACGATTCAAAGTCCTGTTTTCATTAGCGTTTATATTATATACATTTGGATAACATTACCTTCACAGAATCAAAGAATCTCGCAATAGCTTCACCGCCTCCGAGCTCTTCTACTCTACCACGATTAACCCGCGCTGTGACAAGTCTTGCTACCGCTTGAACGTAGGTAGGTGCACTACGGTTAATGTCTTCGTTGGTGACGGTTGGATTCCGTACTTCTTCGATGACAATTTGCAGCCATTGTTCAACAGACGACCACAGGAGGATGTGGCCGCCAAGGGCTAGAGTTTGCCCACCACGTGCCCGGAAAACAAGGTGAATTGTGCCCGAATCAAAGAAAACCGTCTGGCCAGGCCTGAGAATAACATATCGCCACCGGCCCCCGCTATAGCCTTGAGGGTCAACCGTCCAATCATTCCATTCTTGACGCGTTGGGCGTGACATCCAACCAAAGCCAATATATCCTTCTTGGGCGGTGATCCACGTTCCAAGTCCGTGGCTGTCAATGTGTGGCGCTGTGTTGTGGCCACCTTCTGATAGAAGCACCCATTCAAGAACGTCTCCCCACTCGTTCCATTGTTCCCCTGACGCAACTGCCCTCTCCGCACGTCTCCCAGTGAGGACCATGTCTCGGACGCGAGGGAGAAGCTGACAGTTTTCCCCAGTCAAGAAGGTAGGCAAAATAGAGGGAGGGAGTGGACTGCGCAGGTCAAGAATATTCCAGGGATCATCGGAATCTAGCTTGTTCAGAAACCGGTTTCTGACCTGACTGAGTTTCCGGCTTTCGAATGACCTGAGCGAGGAACTTCGAGAGGGCACCTGCACCGAGACAGATCGGTCAAGGTCTTCCATACGGCGGAAGAGCTCCTCAATTGGCCGGTCTCGACCATTCCATCGGAACTGCTGCTGGCTTTCTGTAAAAATTGGGACGTCTGAAGATCCTGACTCAACTCGCCTTGTCGCTTCGCCTGCGGTACAGAAAATCGCATCAGCTTCGCCACAACTCTCGTCCGTTTGAGGTTGCTGGGCGTTTTGGAGAATTTTGTAGACTAGTTTGTCGGATTCTTCGCCGTGGGTGTTGAGGAATGACTTGCTTCGCGCCAACCTCTCCTGTAACCCCGCAAGCACTTGCATGCAGTAGGCCTCGTCAGCTATCTGATTGTGCAGTGGCCGGTGCCCTGTGTCCCTTGACCCGGTCCAGTGTGTGTGTGAGCCACCAAGTCGCGGTCTCTTAAGGAGAGGAACAGGCTGGTTGATATCAGGGAGGGAGGCGGTGCGCCGTCGAGGGGGTGAGGTTTGTGGGAGATCAGAGGGATTGGCCAGTGGCGTTACGTTCGAGTTGTATTGATCCCCCACGAAATTGCCCGCCTTGAGATCGGGGGCTATTACGGACTTGGCGAAGAGCTGAAGATGTTGGTGATAAAGTTGATCGAGGTTGGACGAGTATATCCTCGCCAGGTCTGTGGAGAATACTAAGGGGTTGTCAAGAGCTGCAAGGAACATTGATGGCACTCCTGGCGGACAGCAGCGTTATGGTATCCTTAGGGTAGTAGCTGATCTGGCGGTAGCGTGTCTATTCCTCGACATTGGTTCTCCACTGGATGTTTCTCTATAGGATGACTGTGTCTGTGGCCTGAGCGTTCTCTCGCTTTGTGATAGATCCTCCTGTGTAGCTGCTGCTGCTACTGCTGATGCCTCTGGGTTACTGGTATTTGCCGCGGCATCGGCTGATCGTTCGGCAAGGAACTCGTCAACAAACTCGCTCACAATGTCGCCCCCTGTGGTAGCTTCCGGCGCGTGTGACGAATGCGTATCGTCTTTGGCTGATCCGACGGCATACTCCTTTCCAACCATGAGTCCAAATTTGTCAAATCCAAACCCCTGGGGTAGGTCTGTAATTGCCAGCTCTTCAAATGAAAGGGAATATCGATCACAGCCGTTCTGTCTCACATAGGCCTGTTTGTATGACCATGCTTTGAGAGTTTCCAGATCTCCCTGCTCGATCGGATTCGCTGCCAGTTTAACGAGACGAGCCCCAACACGTTGGTGTCGTCCAAGCATCACCTGGTTCAACTTTATCGCAGCCTCAGCCCATTCGGGAACGGCTTGGGCTGCCGTGCGCAGCACCTTGCAGTACTTCTCTCCTCTGGAAGCCCAATAGTAGTGCTGGACTGTGTCTCGTCCCCAGCAACGGCTCACCTCCGTCAGGGCCGACAGGCACTTGCGCTTGATCTCTGTTCCTTCGGTCGCAACGCCTATGAAACGCTCCCATACTAAGATATCGTCCTCTCGCGGCTTTGACGGTCGGCTTGACGGCCTATCTCTGCTCTCCCTCCAAGTATGGTACTCAGCGCATTCGGCAAACATAACCCGGTCGAATGCAGCGATCAGGAACTGCAGGCTTGAGTGCTGACTGAGTAGATCGTCTCGTGTCTGTAGGCATAGCCTATATTTTTCCGCGTCGTCCTGACAAAGGCGGATCTTGTCGCGAAACCGGTCGATTTGCTCAGCCTGGCAGGCGTCGAGCAGTAAGGCATTATCGCTGATGGCGGTCGTCTCAATAGGGGGTTCGAGGGGCTGCTCGGGGCCAGTCGGTAGTTGATGCGATTCGAGTAGGCCGTGTTGTGTCCCTGCGTAAGAATCATGCTCAGCATTATCAGCCATTGTCGATGCTTAGTAGATATGGTGGTGAACCACACTGGCGCCGGCGCCGTGAGATACTTCGACAGCTGCTTAGCAACAGCAGAAGCCAAGGTAATAAAGGTGAAGGGCGGAAGTCAGTCGCCATCTACCAGCGTCAGCCTAGAGACCCACAATGTCAGGTGAAAATACGACCTGACATTGTGGGTCTTTTCGTACCGTGTGGGTTGGCCAGCTATGTCGTGGCCCCACGCTCTTAGGCAAAAGACCCAGCATCTCCACAGCACTCCATGGCAGACACAGGTTTGCGCGAGCCGAGTTTCACGCCGCTGGCCGGGGTCGGACACCGGGTCTACCCTCGATGCGGCGGTGCGGACAGGCTCTTTCTACCGCCAGAGGAAGAGGATATCAGAGCGTGCGGAAGATTAAGGTCGATAGGACGTAATCTATGGATAGCCATTCCAAAAAGCCAGGCGTGGAACTGGAGGACTCACCATGACGAGGCTCGGGAACAGTGCAGGTAGCCTCTTCTCCGTTACCTTCATTTCCTTCTCCACCAGCGCGTTCGCTGAAGCTTTTTACACTGAGATAGCAGACGAATTTTGTTTTATTACAGACTATATATAGCTATGGAACAGCAA